GTTACAGAAAAAACTGAGGGATAAACCTAATTGTTTTACTAAAGCATACTTAGCCAAATTTACTTTGCACAAACTGAATCGTGAAATTCTCAATCAGCTAGGTTTCACTGTTAGACAGTTTGAATGCTCATTTATAGAGTAATATTTAAAGCAATATTACGTAATTCTCAGTCAAGAGAGAGGCTTGACCTGCAAAATCCAGGGTTAGGACTACTGAAAGAAACTTCCAAAAATGCATATCAAAACATTAAACATTCTCCCTCTGTGTTTTGGAATCTGGTAGCAAACCATTCTGGATAAGCAGTTTGAGAAGTCATGGAGTTTGCACAAAAAATCCAAAAAAAGAAAAAGTCTGTTTTATATATATATATATTTTTTTAGCATAATTTAGTTAAAATACAAAAAATACTTAAATCAGTTTGCGGTGTGTAATGGAAAGTTATGTGTTTGCATCTTTAAGCTTTCTCTCCCTGATTGCTTCCTTAGAAGACATCACTTGTGTCATGATTTTACTTAAAGTTCAGACCCAAATGCTGAAGACCAAACAGGGAGATCAGGAGAAAAGGTTTAACGTGTTTTATTGAAGAGATAATGCAGAGAGAAGAGTTGCTCTGAACACTGCTCAACCGGAACTGAAAAGTGAGGGGGAAACACAGCGATTAGTTCAGGCTCAGTGGGAAATTTGATTTGTGAACTTGAAGAAGAGGATCTGGTTGCTGACTCACATTTCCAGAGAAGTTGTTGAATCTTTGACTCCAGTCTGTATTCTGTTGTTCCAGTGTTTGTCTGATTCAGTAGAGGGTGGAACAGGGTTTACCCAGAATGCGGTTGTTTGTAGTTGAACGGAGAAGCTGACTTGCCACTCAGATATCCTGCGGTACTTAAACAGGTCATAGTGGAGATGAATCCCTTTCTCAGTGTGAAGCTCAAACGATCTCTTGGGGAAAGTGGGTCCAAACCTCCTGTTTGTAACCCCAGCTCAGCTTGAAGCTCTGTTGATCCTTCCAGGGAGAAAAGGTCAGAAAAATCCAGTTTGCAGGATGACTTCCTGCCGAGAGGCAAAGACAAAAACAAAGTTGAAACTCAAGTTGACAGGAACTTTGATTCAGCAAAACTCAGCTTGGCTAGAGTAGCCAAAACTGGCAAACACTCTGGCGTCAAGGTAGTGGCAATCAGCAGCTTAAGAACACTCCGTTAATGAGGAAACCATCAGGTGTGTGAGGAGGTGGACCGGAACCAGACGCCTCCTGGTGGAGGAAGGGAGACAAACACAGAAGCAAAAACACACAGACAGGAGTCCTGACAACTCGGAACAAAGACTTTGAATAACACTTTATAATGAATATGTATTAAATGACTATGATACATAACAACGGATTTTACAGAAATCATAGTCTTACATGGACCAGACAAATAGATCAGGTTACAAATGGCAGGCTTTCCACCATGTTCTTCAGAAAGTCAGCCCACAGTAACATTTAAAAGAGCATTTTATTCATCTCCAGGGCCACAGTATCAATTCATGTACATGTTTGTCAAAAGTAAAAGTTCACTGGCTCCAGCCATATCAAGATAATACACAGTATTTTTAGATTAAGGACATTCCAAATGCACAGTGACAGAGCTCTCTGTAAAGGATAATACACTCTGTCTGCATGCTCCCATTTCATTTCCAGATCTTGTTCTAATTAGATAAACTACTTGGGAAACATTACCCTTAACACATAACAGGCAGGTATCCTTATGGTTTAAAGCTGCAGTCTGTTACATTGAGAAGAGAGCAGACTTCGACTGAAAATTTGAAGAAAAACAGGTTTCACGCCACTCCCCCACCCTCTCTGCTTCACTCATGCCCCACCTCCAAGCTCCACCCCTCTCACAGCATCTGCGCGGCTACCGCATGCGACCAGAAGCGTCCAAGCAGCGTACGCGGCATGGAGTGTGAACCGGTAAGAGCGATAACACTCACCTCCAAGCAGCTAGATATAAGATGCTGGTTATACCGAAGTTACAAAGTTCGGTAGGGGCAGTAACCCCAGGCTCACACCGACTCCGGTCTTACCGTTGCGGTGCAGTGGGTGCGGCACCGCAGTGATTCCAAGTCATTAAAAAGACGTAAACCTCTCTCACCGGCTGCTGAGCTGTCCGGCTGCGGTTACCGAGACACTCCGGCGCTGCAGAATATTCCGCAAGAAAGCTATCCTTGCGGCGTGCCGGAGCCCTCCGCAACAAGCTCTCGCAAATATCCTTATTTGGGCCGTGTTATCGCGTGAAGTTACGTGAACTCAAGTGAACTTCTGTTAAATCTCCGGACCTGTTGCCGGAGCCGCAGAGCCGCACCGCACCGTAGTCAAAAGGGCGGTGTGAGAGGGGGTGTGCGGGAGTTGCGGTCTCCGTCGGCTCGGTAACCGCACCGGAGCCAGTGTGAGCAAGGGGTAAGGGCAGTTTCTCTTTCGCCGGTGGCTGTCGCTCCGCCATGACTTCCACGCGCGTCCTCCTGACTGCAGCAGCCAGGCGGCAGCAGCAGGTTCAGCGGTGAGAGGGAGGGGGCGGGATTCAGCGTGTGTGAGCTGTGATTGACACTCCATCAGACGCTCCTCTGGCTGTGATTGGTTGTTTTGTCTCGTCCCGAAATATTCTTCCAGATTGCAATACAGGCAGTAGGCGGGACCAATTGAAGCAGTTTTTTTCACAGGTTACATATCACATGTACTGCTATACTGTATGTGTACTGGGCATAGGGACAGTTTTAGGCAATATGACAAAAAAGTGATTTTTAAAAACTTACAGACTTCAGCTTTAACAAGCACATACCTGAATCATAAAAATAATCCTAACAAGTGCATAATATTTATTGATCAAACCAAATTTAGTACATTTACCAACAAACAGGTCAACAGAATTGTTCCAACATATTCACTCTGGTTCAAATCCTAAGGTAATTCAGCATTGCCCTATATAGCTTCAAAAGAAATAATTGGACCAACTGATATATCCAACTGGACCAAGACAGAGTGATGACATACAAGGGAAGCAAGGTTAATGAGATTCACATTTGTAGGTGAACATGGAAGGAAAGAAGCATTTTTTGAAAAAAAAAAAAAAAAACTAATTATTTGTTCAGATTGGAGTAAAGTCAGATGCCTCTGCATCTCTTTACATGTTACTTGTAACTTCTTAGGTGAGGACAGCATTTGTTGGCCGGGATCTTCTTTCGTAAGTAAGCCCAAGAGGTTTAAAGAACATGTTGAAGAAGATGATGGGAACTCATGGTGGGGCAAACATAACCCTGGATTTGGAGCTTAAGGGGTGGCATGGAGCAGTGCTCTGAGTACAGAACTCCTGTTTTTCATTAGCTGTTTGATGAATTTAATACAAATCAGATGTTGTGTATGAAAACTTTTTCTTTCTCTTTTTTTTTTTATTTAAAGCTAAGGAACAAAAATAGTGTAATTTGCTAAATGGACAGCCTCAGAAAGCAAAACCAAATAAGGGGGTTGATTACAAGGACGGCCGACTCCCTGACAGCCAAACATTTAACAAACCACACTCTGAATTTGATACTGTTCTGCAAAGGACACAGCTGAAAACTACTACTGCAAAGGTTTACATACAGTACAATGCCATCTTAAGGGTTTATCCTTTTACACTTTTTGTAATGTTACAACTACTTTTATCAACTATAAATTTTTTACATGAGCCAAAACAAAAGATATAACTGGAACATTTATCAAAGAGGATAAAATCATATAACCCCTTTTTTACACATAAAAATCAAAAATTTATTTGGTGCATTTCAAAAAAGTTAAAAAACAATCCACTGGACTTTGTTTCCAAGTTTGATGACGTTTCATTTTCCACCTAAAAAGCTTTTTCAATTCAAAATGTCAGAATTAGCGTTGAGTTTAGAGACTTTATAGAGTGGACCAAAACAAAGCCTTGTTTTGGGTTAGAAAACATGCTAATTGAAAATGCATATTTGGTCCATTTGATCTAATATGTGGTATAACCCCAGCAAATCATTTTGGGCATGCCCCTACTGGCTACATACTGTACATCTAGAGACAAAAGTGTTTGCCCATCCTCCTTTTTTACATAACTCAAGCTCAGTAAGACCTGACGGGGAGCGTCTGTGAATATCAACTTTCTTGCTTCAATACATTTTTTCAGAGCTGGATTTTAACCATGCAATTCTACCCATATACAGTACGTTACTCTGATTAACTCCAGTGTGCCTCTGATTGTATGTTTGCTATAACCCTCCTCCGTTAAAAGTAAAGTTTTGCCCATATCCCAACTTTGCAGCCTAAAACAGGTCTTCCTCCAGATATTCCATTTTACATGCAACTCAAAGCAGTGTACCTGTCATTGCAAAGTAAAATTATCCACAAGACAAAGCTGCCATAACTATGTTGGTGATGGGATGACATGTTCAAAGTGATGGTTACTACAAGATTCTTTTGTTACAGATGGGCAAAAGATTTCCTCTATCAAGTTCCCTTGATTTATTTATCTATCTATTTTGCTTTAAAGAATCAACCTGAGCTTTAAATATATGCCGCTCATCTAAAATGCCCAGAGGTTACCTTACTGCTGATTAAAATAAAATTGTCCCTGTAGCACCTTTTAGTTTAGTTGATTGTCCATGTTTATGTAGGTAGGTTGTGACTTCTGCTGGTATAGTTCTGGTTGGTATAGTTCTATGTTTACTTGTGTTCTCTAACAAGTAAGCATACTTCTGAGGCTGCACTGGACAGCTGTGTAAAAACTGGGTTTAAATTAGTGGTGCCTGTTTCGTTAATATGGGACATCTGAAAAAACTGTTTGCAATTAATTTCTATGGGGATTCATGTAGAATACATGTGCATGTTACAGTTTTTCTTTTTTTTGTCAAAATGTTTAGGTTGTGACCATAATAATAACTAATTTACAGTATTGCATTTGACTTTAAAAGTCAAAGTTTCAATAAATATTGTTTTTCATCCTTTCCTCTTTTCTAGTCACGTCCAAACTGGGTGGGAACATCACCTTGCCCTGCAGACTTCAGTCAGGGGGCAGTGATGTCTTTGGAGCTATGAAAGTCACATGGACCAAAGTTGGACAAAATGGATCTGAGAATGAAGAAGTGCTATTGTCAATGGGTATACACACATCGGGAAAGTTTAAGGATCGTGCCTATTTGGTTGACACAAACGCTGGCGATGCATCCTTAGTGTTAACTAACATCTCCATGGAGGACATGGGAAAATATCACTGTGAGGTCCAGGATGGTATGGAAGACATCGTAAAACATGTCATCCTAGAGGTAGAAAATGGCACAACTGAAGGTAAATACTGTTTAAGTAATATATTAGAAATGTATTAATAATTCACATTCTTTATAATGCATGTCCTGTTTTCACATCTTATTTCAGAGTCATTAAACTGTTCTCCATCTCACAATTTGTCAGTTTTAGTTGAAAACTGGTGACACTTATTCAGTGTTCCATCAAAACTTAAAGGAATAGTACACCCAAAACATGATTAGCCTTCATTTTCTACTCACCCCCATGCTGAACAAAACTCTGGAGTACTTTTTTGATATCTCAAATGCATCTGGAGATCTGGGAGGCTTCTTGCTGTCTGCTGACATTCAAATAATGGAGGTCCATGGCGCCCGAGACAGAAAGGTCCATAAAAGTCCACAAAAACGTGTCAATATTCCTCCATACTGCTCGTCCAATGTAATCCAAGTGTCCTGAGTGGGTAGTATCCAGAATTTACTCGAAACGAAGTCATTTAGAACGTTTTAGAGCCTAAACAGTAGTGTATAGGATTTCCTAATAGCGCCCCCATGCGCGCTCACGATTCTACGGAAGCCGGCAGACCAAACCAGCGCATTCAGCTCGGCAAAGAACTCATGCTCTTCCTCAACACTGAAGTCCTCAGACATTTTTCTTTCGTTGTTTCTTTCTTTGCACAGGTAAACAGCACATTTCTTCTTCTACGCTTGCATTATCGGCAGAGCAGACGCTGAATGCGCACTTTCTTCCGGTTTGGTCTGCCGGCTTCCGTAGAATCGTGAGCGCGCATGGGGGCGCTATTAGGAAATCCTATACACTACTGTTTAGGCTCTAAAACGTTCTAAATGACTTCGTTTCGAGTAAATTCTGGATGCTACCCACTCAGGACACTTGGATTACATTGGACGAGCAGTATGGAGGAATATTGACACGTTTTTGTGGACTTTTATGGACCTTTTTGTCTCGGTCACCATAGACCTCCATTATTTGAATGTCAGCAGACAGCAAGAAGCCTCCCAGATCTCCAGATGCATTTGAGATATCAAAAAAGTACTCCAGAGTTTTGTTCAGCATGGGGGTGAGTAGAAAATGAAGGCTAATCATGTTTTGGGTGTACTATTCCTTTAAAGTCAGAGTTTTGCAGATTAAGATTTGAAAAAATTACTCTAAATAATTTATATTCAAAATTTGAATTTGGTTAGTTATGAATTCTTTTACAGCACCAGTAATTTTGCAACACTGTAGATTTGAGAATGTTTTTGAGCCATTAAGTCTTCTGATCTAGGCAATGAATGTACCAAAAAATGCAAACTATTTAATATTACCAAGGTTACAGTGCAATTTTGGACTTTTCATTTTAATTTAGATTTATTAAGTTGTTATAGTTTTATATTTTTTTTTTTTCAGTAAGTTTTCATTTCAACCTGGAGAGACTCACACAGACAAAAGAAGCAATTAGAATGATTTTTTTTTTTGAAAAAAATGAAAACAAGTTTTTGCCGCTAGAAACCCAGCTGAAGACATTATGCTGTAAGTCATCATGAGCCTGGATGAATAACTGATGAAGAAGGTAAGAGTAGTCTTACCCCCAGTGGTGGTGGAATAAGCCAGAGGATTAGAGCCTTCATCTTCATGAAAAGTGTGTTAAAAATGATTGGCTTTGGAGAGGATGCGGTCCGTCTTTGATTGGACGAAGCTTCATAGAGGGATGTCAGCAGGTGTTCTGGGTTAGGCTGATTAAGAAAGAGCCTTCCAGGTTGAATTTTAGCTTAAGTTTCATTTGCTTTCAGAAAAAGTTTTCTGGTTTTTATTAGTTTTGTCATCTTAACAATAGTTAGTTTTAATGTAGTTTTATTCGTTCTAGTTCTAGTTTATTTTTCATACTTTTTCATAATTTTAGTCCACAGGATTCACAATGGTCAGAGAATTTAGTTGTTGCAAATGTGCATATAAGTAATAAAAAATAAATAAAGGATACCATATCCAAAAACTTGCTTAATTGCAGCAGACTTTAAGTGGCTCTTGTGGAAAAAAGCTACCGTAACTATTTCACATCAATTTAGAAGGCTTAAAAAATAGATAAACATGAAATTGAAGGGTATATATCTATAATTTTTCATATGTTTAGTTAGTTTAATCAAAACACAATACTGTTTCATTTACTTTTCCCTTTTAATTAGTTTTTTTTTATTTCAGCTGCAAAAAATATTCTCAATTTCAATTTTTTTAGTTGTTTAATCAGCTATAATGCCCTGTCTCTCCTCATAAAACATGCGTTCTGTTGTTAAAAATACAGATTGTGTTTTTAAGATGTTTTCCTAAAACAGTTTTTATGTCATTCAGGTGTTGTATTCCCCTATGCTCCGCATCATGGGCGCTACAACATGAGTTTTGATGATGCTGTGCAGGCATGTTCCAGCCAGGGTGCTGTGATTGCCTCATTTGAACAGCTCCTACAGGCCTGGGAAGATGGACTGGACTGGTGCAATGCTGGCTGGCTCGATGATGGTACAGTACATTATCCCATCAAAAAACCCAGAGAGCCCTGCGGTGGTGCTATCAGCAGTCCTGGTATTAGAAGCTACGGTCGCAGAAACAAGCAGAAGAGCCGCTTTGATGTCTTCTGCTTTGCTTCCAAACTTGAGGGTACGTACATTTTTATATATTAAAACTTAGTTTTCATACAGTCCAACTAATAACGTCCATTTTCCTAAACACGTGTCTACGTGAAAGGATATCCTTCTGAAAAAGTGTTTTTCTTTTTTGCTTTCTCCACAATAAGGTCAATTTTATTGGTTGACCCAGCCAGATAGACTGACCTACGACGAGGCTGTGCAGATGTGCAAAGACGACAATGCAGAGATTGCCAAAGTTGGTCATATGTATGCAGCCTGGAAGCTTGAGGACTACGATCGCTGTGACGCTGGCTGGCTGGCTGATGGAAGTGTCCGCTACCCTATCTCCAGACCCCGCAAGAACTGCAGTCCCACAGAGGCTGCTGTGCGCTTTGTTGGATTCCCTGACAAAAAAGTCAAGTCTTATGGTGTCTACTGTTTCAAGCCTTACTAGTGAGAATATTAAAAACAGCTAGGGAAACCATAGCTACCAAAGAGCAGCAAAAACAAACATAAAAATAAATTTCTGTGAAAACAGGATTTAAACCAGTTAAAATATAATATCCTTGCTGATGCAGTTTTAACTCTTACTTATGTGTCACACATTTAAGTTCAATATGCAATACATAACAATATATAAGTAGCAATTAGTGTTTGATACTTTTTCTTGTTGCACACTTTGTTAAGACTGTTTGACATAAGCCGATAGTTTTATAGCAAAGGCAGAATCATCTGAATTTAGTATTTACTGCTTAAAATGTGTTAAGTTCAGGATATGATTGCAATTTCACTCAAACTACTATTTTAAATAAGGCTTGAGCAATGCGATGTCTATATGTAATAGGCCTGCATAAAACAAAATTTGATTCAGTGTGGTGAACATAATGTGGTTACATCTTATGGGCTATTGGTATAAACACATTATACTGCAATAACTCAAATGGACTCTTTGTCAGAACATTTTTTTCCGACAAAGAGTCCAGTTAAATAGCAAACAGCAAAATATTTGCAAACAGAACTAAATATATATTTTGAATCAGTATTTTTTTTTTTTGCATTACAGTTTAATTAACAGAAACCACAAGTCTGAAAGATGTTACAATGTTAACTTTTTCCAATTTGAGATAGAAGATAAAGACTTTACATTTCTTCACACATCTTTCCAAAAAATTCTTTAACAATGTAGTATAAAGCTTTGATTAATGCTTGCGAATCTTTCTTTTATTATATTAAGTTTGTTTTGCCATTGTGCTAAACAAGTTCATATAACCCTTGTTTGACTCGAGTAAAACTCTGAGTAAAAAACTGAGCGAAAATACTAGCAATTAGTAGTTAGTTTTTAATTTTAGTTAAAAGAAGGTTGTTTGCTTTGCTTATTTTAGTGTAATCACTGACCTATGATGCTAACTGAAGATGTGTATTTGTTCTCAGTTCCACATACAAAAAACAGTTTCTTGTATGATAACATGTATCTTTTTTACAATGATGCAACTGAAAATAAAAATCTGCTTTTAAAAATCTTTTTTTAATGGTTACTTTATAGAAAATATAACTATCATTGATGATTAGTATATATGGATATACAGATAGAAATTTTAAGTGTTATCAATGTTTTCTACAATTTTTTTTAGTACTCAAACTTTAGATTTTTATCAGCACATCCTAAACAGGGAGGCTGGTCCAAAATGGGAAGATGTAGGAATACCACAGCTTGATCAGGTTCTGAGGTCTCAAGACTGGTCTTGTCTCAAGATTGGTCTTGATAAAAAAAAAAAAAAAAAATCCCAGTCTGGGGCTCAGTTTTGAACGCTAATGCCTTAATCTTGGCTTCAGTGTCAATTTTTCGTGCCTTTGCAAATTGTATATGAGCTGTTTCTAGACTTTGTACTTTTCTAAAAATTAATAAATAAATAAAAACGATAGTGCAGAAGCAAACAAAGTACAAGAAAAAAACTGCATCAGTGATTAGAGCACCACTGGTTCCCGGAATCTCAGACTAAATATAATCTTGTTATTGGAATGATGACCTGGAAAGCTTACAGTAAAAATATTTTGGCTGGGGGTTACTAACTGTTAAATGAGAGTTTTTCCTCTCCAATGTGGCTGCATACTGTATATGTTTGGTGTGAGGGATTGCTGTGGAGTCAATGACAAAATTCAAATGAGTATCTGCTGTCACCACATGTGCTTCTAGGAAGAGCGTGTCCTGCAAGTCAATGATTTGGTGCAATTACAGTACCTGTTTTTTTTTTATTAGATAGAAAACTTTTTATGTTTACGAAAAGCCTTTTGTTTTTTAAAATTGCCCCTCTGGATCCATTGCTTTAAAAAAGTAAACATTTACCTACAGTCTTGCTTTTACTAAGAACTTAGAACATTTACTTTTCAAAAGAATGAACAGTTGGAAGAAAAGGAAAAGAAAAAACATTGGACAAAATGTATATTCTATTTACCTCCGGGATTAATCCTAAGCGAAGTATTGACCTGTAGTTTTACTATAGTTCTAAAGTGTTCATACAAGGAAAATGAGTATCTAATTTACTTCATCCTTCACAGCATATTTTAGGTTCATTCTTCTTGTCTTGGAATACATGAAATCCTCTGCACACGACTTGTACCTAATATTCTTGTTGACTCAAGGTGGCAATATGTAGCAAAGACCAAGCTTAACAGTATCAACGCACTACATGCAAAACTCACTGAACCAGCCCATGAATGTAAATGGGAAATGGCCTGTACTTATATAATGCTTGTTCAAGTCAGAGGACCCAACCAAAGCACTTTACACTACATTCAGTCATTCATCCATTCACCCACACCCTGATGGTGGCAAGCTACATTGTAGTCACAGTTGCCCTGTGGCTCACTGACAGAAGCGATGAAGGGGAATAATAAGTCTCATTTAATGAAACCAAAAAGGAAAACTCTAAACAGTTAGCCTTTGTCTTGGTCTCTGAAGGTCTGGTTTTATTCTTGGTTTCAGAGGTCGCAGTCTCGAAAGAACCAGTCTGTACGTGACATTTTTATAATTTCATTAGTAAAACTTTTGACAGCTATTATTTTCCTGTCTTACAATCTTACAATATTTTACTACCCTGCATTGGGCTGTAAACATGAACTATCATCCAAATAGGATCGATCAATAGATCTATCTATCTATCTATCTATCTATCTATCTATCTATCTATCTATCTATCTATCTATCTATCTATCTATCTATCTATCTATCTATCTATCTATCTATCTATCTATCTATCTATCTATCTATCTATCTATCTATCTTGCCCCATCTACTTCAGATGCAAGTAGGTGGGTTAGTAAGGACAGTAGTTGAGTGACATATTGATAAACAAACTATAAAGTCAATTACATTTCTCTACCAAAACAACATACCTTCATTGGTTATGAGTCCCATACTTATCCTTTTATTATTTAACATGGGTCTTCTGTTTCCAGGATTCAGACTTTTACATGTGCCAAATGCCTAAGGGCCACAGTGGCGTTGGATGTAGGAGTTTGCCCTGAAATCGAAGGATTGATGGTTCAAGCCCCGACTCTGACTTTCAGTGTTGTTGTGTCCTTGGGCAAGACTTCACCTACATTGTCTACTGATGGTGGTCAGAGGGCCTGCAGGCGCCAGTGTACGGCAGCCCTGCTTCTGTCAGTGAGCCCCAGGGCAGCTGTAGCTACAATGTAGCTTGCCACTGTGAGTGTGTGCGTGCGTGAATGAATGTAGTGTAAAGCGCTTTGGTCAAGTCTCCTGACTTGAAGAAAGGCGCTATATAAGTACATGCCATTTACCATTTACGTTGCCTGTCAACACCAAATTTGCAGGAGTAGCCTCTTCACAAAACCCCACTGACAAACATGCACATGCTGAGGGGGTCCAATATGTTTCACCATACAATGTGCATGACATGAGACTGGACTGCCAGTCAGCCAACTTCTGGGGCACCTTGGATATATCTTTGATCACAAGTCAAGTCTTAGTAGCATACTGAACTTTTACAATGATTGATATGAGTTTACCTTTGAAAGGTTGGCATTAACAAGATTAATGTCATTTTCAAGCAAACTGTGCACTCTGCCAGCACTAAAATTATGAGCCTAAATATAATTTTTATATGAGAGCACAGGGGCTATTAAATATGCTTAAATATTTTTCTTCCCGAGCCAATTTTGATTCCTTTCCATGGGAGTTTCAAGCATGCACGGTTTGAAACAGAATTCAACTGGAAAAATGCTGAATTTTTGAATAAAATATTGCGTAGGTATTCTGCAAGCAGAAAAGCACTAGAATCTCAGTGAAACAGCACTACCTGCTGGTGAAACCCCAGCAGGGTCAGTGTCAGTCCAAGCAGTGCAGTGATTTCAAACAGTTTCTTCGATCAATGATTAACAACTAAACTTAATATTAAACCTCAGTATATTTATTTAGTTCTTTGGTGAATTAAAGCAGAAGAAAACTTTGAAATCACAATAAAATATATAAAAACAAACAAACATCTTTTGCATACATTCACATTGCAAAGTAGAAAAATTAAACAAGTTGTTATAAAAAAATAAAACTGTTTTATGTGCACAACTGGGGGAAAAAAAGCACATAAACATTCACAATCAGATCGAATAAAGCAATATTTTTAACAGAAATGTTGCAGGGGTGTTACATAAACATTCACATGTAAAAATATATTGTGATGGTATTAACAAACCTATTGCTTATGCTGCCCCGCAGATCCACTGTTGTATTAAAGGTTGTTAAAGGACACAAAATGATTATATTGCAAATAGTGAGTATATTTCTATCTTTATTGCATCATGTTTTGACATTTTTAGCGTCTTGGTTTTTGCTGAGCACACAAAAACATTCACACTAAATGATGAGCACATCTGGGACCAGTGACATCATCAAATATTACTTTTCAGTATGAAACACATGAGGAGATAAAAAGCAGCTTGAAAATAAATTATTTGCATCTCTTTCCACCCTAATAAGTCTAACTTTCAAGTCTGAGTGTTTCACAAAAATACATTCTCTTATGGCAGATTTTTCATGCAGCAAGTAAAGTGATGAAGTAAAGAAAATGACAAAAGAAAAACATATTACCGGTACTAAACATAACTAAAACACAACCAAAACTTATAAAAAAGAGATTCTTTGGCATTTTACTATAAACAGCATAAAGGTAATGTAAACATGCTGTGCCAAAAGAGAGTGAGCTGAATAGAAATTCAGCCCACATGCTGTGGTTACCTGTGAAAAAGTTTTTAAAAATTTTTACAACCCTTTTTATTCTCTAATTTGTAAATATTACGTGTTTTTTATTAATTTGTTAACAAAAAAGGATTTGTGCTGTACTCAACATCCACCCTATTTGCATTTTGAAATTAGAACTGATGATGTGAAGAGTTTTGAAAAAAAAAAGCGAAAATACAAGAACATATATTTACTTTATACATTGCATCATTAAATAGGAAGGCAAAAATTAATTCTCTTTTATATAACAATAGCTGTATTATTGCATGTTTATGTATGTGTATATATATATATATATATATGTATATATATATATATGTATATACATATATATATATATATATATATATATATATATATATATATATATATATATATATATATATATATATATGACCTTAACAACGAATGTTTCATATATTTAGCAAATAATGAAGAGAGCAACATCTTCTGCTTAAATGAATATCAAACAAAAGCACTCATTGCGTTTCCAGAAGCCAGCTGAAAGAGATTGTCTTCTCTGTGAGTTTCTCTTAAAATAAGGCATATTGTCCAAAATGCAACAAACTTCCAGGTTATCCTCTTGGTTTTCTCTGTGAGCTTTTTCAAGAGTTTTTTTATGCCTTTTTTTCTGGTCCTTTTTTCTTGCAACCATCAAGGGCGTTTTGGGACAGATGAAAATCATTGCTTTCTCCGTTTATGAACTGATCTGTCTCTCCTTCCCCGGTAGTGCTGATGATTATGGTGCAAGGTCTCACCCTGCCGTTTTTTGAAATTGTTGATGCTATAGAGAGCATGTGGTTGATGTCTTCTCATGAAGGACCTCTGATAGCTTGATGCTGAAAGAGAAAATAAGCCTGTTTATACAATATTTGACATAATGTTTTCTTTCTTTGCAGGAGTAATACTTGCTCTACTTACGGTATATACAGGCAATTTTAGGTGCATCCCATCGTCCATCGCCACGACAGCGGATGGTAGGAACATGCCTCTGAATGAAGCCTGTTCGACACTGGTATCTCACCAGGGAGTTGATTTCATACCTCTCACGCTTTCTACCAAATGTATGTGCATTTTCAACTACAGGGGGCTGGCGGCAGGCCACTGGGGAAAAAAGATAGCATAATTAAAATAAGGACTACAAACATGTAATCCATCAGAAGAAACATTTTTAGCAAAAAAAATAATAAAATAAAAAGAAAGTCAAAAGTAAATGATAAGAATTCAACATTGGGTTATGTTCTAAATAAAAGGTTCTAAAAGGTTCCTTAAAAACTGTTAAAATAAAGGGTTACATCGCCTTATCAGCAATGATGTAAATCAGTACTCTAAGTACTTTACAAGCAGACTCTCTCAAATAGTATGCTGTACCATAGCCACTGCAAAGGTTGACTAAATAATATAGTTAGACTCAATGCTAACAAGTTTTAGCTTTCAAGGTTTATAACGTGCAGATTCAGTAAGTTTTTTATAAGAACTAACTTATTTTTAATGGATCTAGTTTTTATTTATCAGTAGTAGCAGTAATATAGTTGTTTATTTGTATTATGAACTACTTTAGCTGACAGATAATAAAATGACCAATTAATGGTCTCAGACAATGTGAGTATTACATACTACTTATTAAAATTGTGTGCTGAATACAGAAATATTTTGTTAAGAAAACGTCACAATCTTGGTTAAGACTGTGGACTTAACACGAGTCCAACAGATGGTCATTGACAACCTCCACATGGAGAGTAAAGCCGGTGTTCTGTCAGATGACCATACCCATAGTCAATACCCGTTTATCTCTTTAGTTTTGTATGAAAAATACACTTTAAACTACCTAACCGGGCATGTCTCCCTTTAGTCATGTACAAAGAAACTATTTAATTACTGGTGTATTGGTGTTTTTTGAAGCGTATGAAGATCTTACCTTAAATTTTTTTTGAACATGACTAAAGTGATACACGCCCATCGAGTTTAAAGTCTATTTTTTTTACAATGTCTATATTTATGCTGGTATGACAGGGTATGCTAATCTGAAAGAACACTGTACACTGTATGATTTTTTGCCCTTTTCAGGCCGATTCTCCAGTCGTGCAAGAATTTTTTGATCGAGCCAACTTTCAGCCTGATTGTGCATCGTGTAATGTACAGGGGATAGCCAGGGCCGATCGGCCTCTCATGACCACCTCCTGATCAGGAATTGTAAGGTTGTCAGAAAATCATGTTTGAAATTCAGTTGGCCGTCATAAGGTCACATCAGAGTGAGAATATACATCATGAGCTGTGGACTTTTAAACATTGTGATTTTGTCATACAGTTTTAGCTGTAGCTGCGTGCAATGCTTAAGCTACAGAAGTTAATTGTAAAGTTAGCTGTTTATAGTGTGCTGTGTAAGGGTATATAAATTGAAACGTTGAAGGAAGATATACAGTGAAAAAACATCTACTGCATTGTGAAATAAAGCCTATTCAAGAGTATGAATGAGTTCCACAAAGTAGAAATCACTGGTGGAGTCACTGTTTCAGGAGCCACTGCACAATGTTGTGGGATCAAACTGTTGCAATCCTTGTGTTAAACCACTATTTAACTAAAGGAAAAGTCGGAAGAATCTTATTTAGGCTTAGTAGAAAAAACACAAGCTGAAGGGAACTACTTAAGCAACCTTCTCAACACAACAGGCAGAACAGCGACGTAGCAAACTGTATTGACTGAATGCAACTATAAATATGACCAACTATCAGCTCTTTTGGAATTTAACCTGTACAGCTGAAAAGATACATCCATCCCAAGAAGATTAATTATAACTTTATGATTTGGTGTGAAATCATTTAGATGACAGGCTGTGTGCTTCTGCTTACTGCTTTTGTAAAGAATATTGTAATATAAGAAGCTTGATTTCATTACCTGTGCCTTTTTTGCATGTGAATGTTAGGTGATAGTTGCAAGGGACATCATTCCACTGGCCATCCTCGTGCCAAATCATCACAACACAGTCCTCTCCAGATGAAAAGAAGCTGTCAGGCTGGTTCGGCCTCCAGTTGTCATATTGCTGAAAATAGAGCAAAGATTCCCATGTGATGTTTATCTCTTAATTTAACCTGGCAGTATCTACAATGTGTGCTGATTAATTTGCAAACAGCCTGTATGCACTTATTGTATGCTTTGTTATGACATATGTTGTCCTTTGGTGAAGAGGGAGTCCTGTACTGTTCATGAAGACATCGTACCATTAATAAAGGTGTACCCAAGGGAGAAGGTAGAGAGGAGGCCCAGGGGTGATCATGGCCACCCCTAGACAACCATTGGCTGACCCTCTATTAAGTGATTTAATGTCCTCTGGTGCATGTAATTTGCCACCTCTACAACAAGCAATTTCCTTCTGAAGTGATTAATTTGACACTTTGTTAGTAAATCAAACATAAACTGATAACAAAAATACAGTATCTAAGTATGCACATCAATATACTTTAAAGAACTAGTTTTTGTGTTTTAAGGTGAGAAGTGAAAGTCTCCACAAGTCATCTTGGAGTTTTATATGTATTTAAAGAAAACAACCAAACCGATTTCCCTATGTATTAATATATGTATATACTAATATTAAACAGAAACATATTTGATGAAGGTGTAGTGGACGATTTTTGCAGAAACGTAAGTAAGAAATGCCTATGTCACTTTTTGAATAAGCACGCGCAAGACCGTCCTATGTGCTCTTCTGCCATCCTGTGAAAGAATCAAACACACTCTGGTCTTATGTCTTTCTTTTGAGGCCTTCCTCTTTTTCTTTTTAGTAAAACTGTTTACTTTGTGTGACTCTCTGGCATTTTTAAAATGGCAGTGAAGCTCCAATAACAAAAAAGCTGGATGTTTTGCTCAATCATTTTCTTGTTGGTATAGATTGATACTGAAAAGCTACTGTCACCTTTCCATTTTCAGCCACTTCTCTGTGCATATTGGTCCACCCTAGCCTCTAGAAAATTGTCTGGCCCCAACACTAGGTGTTCCAAATGTGAACTAATGAAAGCAAGTAGGCTTATTTAAACAAACACACAGCTTGATCTCACTATGCTTATGGATGCGCAATATTATATGCAAAAAGCTAAAGACCTAGATTTCAGACCAGAAGTAAAGCATCTACCCTGCTCCCCCCTCTTTATTAACGTCCACAAGAGGGGGGAGCAGGGTAAACTCAGTAATAACTACAGTAAACGTCTGAATGAGAACTCAACAGAGTACTGCAAAGGAAACTAAGCATTTAAATTATCCCCAACAGACACTTATCAAAGTATAACACTGTTTGGTATCTGATATTGCAGTATGCATTCTTTGTGAACACTTTTCCTCAAGAAGTTTGCATGTCTATGATTGAAAGTTTCTGCCAACAAAAAACAGTACATGTAGATTTAAGTCCATGCAGTATCCACACAGCTGTGAAGCTGTGAGCCATCCAGGCTGCAGTTGAAGTACTATAGTCTTTCAGCATGTTCTAGGTTCAAACACTTCAAAGCTGTCACTCCCCCACCACCACACCCCCCATACACACTTTCCTGCCATCATGCCTCTAGGTCTTAGTGCTCTGTCATTATGGCTTACAAACATACTCTGACTTCCTCCTCTGCTCATCTCAGCACAACAAATGGTTGAGCTATCAACTGTCTGTCAAGTCTGCATCTCAATGAAAATATCCAAGCTGTCCAACACCATCCAAACACACATTCATAGATGTGAATCTGTTTATGGTGGTAAATACAACTTCACAGTTGAAAATGTTCTTATTATTTATTTGGATTCAGTTGAGTTGACCACCCACCTAAACCCCTGGGGTGTTACTAGACTGTGTTTTTCTCAAGCTAAAGCTGAGAACAGGTGCTGTCCATCTGTATGTCTCTTTGGTGGCCCTTCCCCCGTGTGACTGCCTGCTGGCTGAGCTCTCTCAGGAGGGGGGGGGATAAAGAGGGACCATAAAAGTCCATGTCTACAGACCCTCCCCACAAGCTCATTCACAACCTCATCACCTCTAAATTGGTCTTTGCTTATCTGTTAACCCCCAGGGTTTCGCTTCCCCTTCACCTCTGCTTTTAAGGAAACGTCATATCAGTCCATTCACAGACTTAGACTGTAATTAAGCTTTACTCTATCAGGTGAGAGAAATATTCAGGAACTAATAGTCAAAACATTTGACTTTGTTGTAAAAAAATTCCATACATGTTGAAAACATTTATGCTGATGAAGATTCTCAGTCATCCAGGTCATAGTCATTCCGTAAAAAAGTAAAAAAAAATCCACTGGACTTGGTTTCCAAGATTTGAAGACCTTTCGACGTTGGCGAAACGTCTTCAAATCTTGGAAACCAAGTCCAGTGGATTTTTTTTTTTTACTTTTACGCAATTATGTTATTTACAAACATAAACGTCCCTGTGTTTTAATCATTTTTTTGCTTATTACAAGGTAGCAAATGTTTCCTTAAAAACCAAACTGGGATAAATGCATGTTCAAGCATTCAACATCTACCGTAAGTCAATACCTAGTCTGACCATATTTTATTGAAATAGATTTGTGGTAAACCAAAAGTTAGGTTTTTTGCTCTCATCTGACACCATGCTCCACAGGTTTGTTGGGTCCTGTATGTGGCCTCTGGCAGACAGGTCATAGGACAGCTTTAAGTTTGCCTTAAACTTAAAGGTGCAGTAGGAGAACTTTTCTGATGCATTTTTTTACCATGTGGCTTTACCAGGATAGTAAAAGTGATCATGTTGCCGGCAGATTTCGGCATTTTAAGTTAATTTAGGCGTTAATAAACAGTTTTAGAGGAGTGATCATAGCGCTCTGCATCATCAGCACTGCCTGTCTCCCTGCCAGCAGCTGCTCCTGCTGCTCTTGACGCGATGCAGACAACATGCTTGTCCATGTGTTTTGAAGGCGTGGTTTCGAGGGTTTTGAAGGGAGAGGCATGGTTGTGTATTTTCAAAAATATAGCTTGCTGGAACAGTTTTCTGAGATTGCCTACTGCACCTTTAATCTGTATTAGGACACTTGCATAGCCTGTTTTAAACTATTTTATATACAGTATGATGTAGTATGTGTGCAAAGGGATATGCAGTGTTGTTTTCTGCACCACATGACAATTTGCATTTAAGCATGTGGCTGCTGTAATCAATGCTTTCCTTAACCTGCTGTCACTTAGGCTGAATGGCCATTGCATGCTAGGTTTGCAGTTGTGCTATACTCTGTTCTCTCTCGGGTGATGTATTGGACAGTGCTCTTTGAGATGTCCAAAAATTTAAACATGGTTTTCTGATGTATATGTACAGATGTTGAGACTAAGCTGCACAAGTGGACATCATTTACATTTCAGGATACTGAAGCCAATTTTTTTGATGGAAATAATGAAGGGCTTCAGACTTATGGGAGATTAATATAACAATAAGAACAATCTTTGAAAACAATGGGCCTCAATCCATCTTCAAACCTTCTTACGAGTGATTTAAGAGAAAATGTCACATTCACCATTTTTCCCCTCTTTCTAATCTTCTCTCAGGTATGAACAAATTTTATGAGAGATCCAGACTTGATATATGATTCTTGCACAATCAGTCAGCTGTTATTTAAACCAATTTTATTTACTAAATGACTACATTTGTTGTTACTTAGAAGTAATTGGCCAATTTATTGGGCTAAATCAATATACAGCGGGTCACATAAATATTAAGCAAGCCACCATTTTTCTCATTAAATATATTTCTATAGGTGCTATTGAGATGACTAGGTGAAGGACTACATTATGAAAAGGTCGCCAGGGAATACTTAATATAACAACTCTTGCTAGATGTCTGCATCTATCAATTTGGTTATATTTAAATATTTACACTGCTATGTTAAATACATTAGAGAGCAGCATCTTACCATGGGCCTGCCATCAGTCCAGCGGAAGTCATTGGGGTACATCTTATCATTCAGGCCAACCCACTGGTAGTCATGTCCAAGACCTGAAATCAAGGACAGAAAAAAACAGCTGATTACATTTCTAATCTATCTTCTCCTTATATTCAGACTTTGTATCAATAACATTTAAAAAAGAAAATAGATATCACAGGCATTTTTACTGTCTTTATCATTTTCCTGAACATTCTGTCCTCTAACTGTTTTGATTGTTTTGCTCCAAATAATTTTTTTCACTTTTGTTATGAACAAAGGCTATCGTAATAAAGCAAAGCATGTTTATTTAATTTCTGAAATAATGTATAAAAAGGGTCTTCAGCTTACGGTTTACAAACTGTTGCTCTTCATGAGAAAGGATGCTAGTTAAATGAGCTCCATGTATGCGGCACTCTCGCTCTGCAGAGTCCCAGCTCTTCCTCTGTGGGAAGAACTTGTAGCAATGGCCCTGAAACTTGTGCCAACCATAGTCACATGTTTCAGTATCTGAAAGACAAAAAAAAAAAAAAAAAAGACTTAAGTTTCAGGAAAACAAAAACAAAGATTGAGTTTGAGTTTAGCCTTTTTATACCATGGTATGCCACAATGATATTGTTAGGATCTGGGGCTTTGCCCACCAGAGGGGGACATGGATCCATGCCTGGGGAGCTTGGGCTAAGCATGGACAGCTGTTTTCCATCTGCTGATTAAAGAAGCTCTCCCTATATAAGCTGAGTGAGAGCTCCCCTCTGAGCCGGATTGTTGTGTTTCCTGTGCCACCATGCCTGTCTGAATCTGCAAACCTGTAAGTCTGTCAACCGGTTCCAATAAAATACTGGACTTTTCCCTGCCTCTCTGTCTGTGAGTTCTGCATCTGGGCTAGAAAACCTGCGCATCATGACAGATATTCTGTAGGACTCAGGGTCAGACATAGGTAGAGTACCCACAAATTCCACTAAAGTAGGAGTAATACTACTTCATCATATTCGTACTCATGCAAGAGTAAAAAGAAGCCAACCAAGAAATTACTCAAGTAAGAATAAAAAGTATTTAAAAAAAAGACTACTTAAGAACTGAGTAACTAGTCATAACAACTATCATTTCAAGAAAGACCATAATACAATGTTATGTGAAATTTCTGGTATTTTAACACTATATTTGAGTAATAAAGATTTCTTTTTTAATTGTTGAAAATTAACAGTTCCAGGCAGAAGAAACACTTTTACAAACCAATTTTCTTTTTAACATAAACCACCACCTTAAGTGGCAATATCTAGTTCTTACTTTATATCAGCTTTACCTCCATATGCCATGCTAAGTTTAAGTAAGGAAAACTTACTTAAACTTAAAGAAGAAGCGTATACATTACTCAGTAAATTTAGTCAAGATGGATGGAGCAGCCAAACATTTTACTCAAATAAGAGGGTGATTTCAATCAGATTTTAAATGTTATGTTTAAAGTGGATTATGAGTGGAACTTAATTATAACTATCAGGATTTGGATAATTTAAGTCCCAAATATTTTGACAGGACTTTTGCATAAAACTATTTATCTCAACCTGGTTCTTGTAAAGATAGAAACAACTCTTAGAAACAACAGATACAATCAGCAGTAATAAAAGACTACTGTGTTGTATTTCCATGAGCTAGTTTCTTCCCTTTTACAATTGGCAATCTCCATACAGCCATGTCTAGGTACATAATATGGGTGGGAATCCCAAAAGAGTTATCATGACAACATTTAGGGCGTAGGCTAGTTAAAATATTTCAGTGGTAAATGGTTTGTTTTCCTTTGCATAACACGTGCTGTAAAGATTTAGATGGAAACCCAACTAACACCCTGGGATTTTACAAAAAAATTCAGTCAAATTCTCCAATATTAATACATCAGGGTGCGACTAGGTCCAGCAGCCCCAAAAGGAACCAGATTTCTGAAAAATCCCAGATTTTGCTGTCTAAATTTGCTAAGTCAGAAATAATCATGCAAAGAGCCTGAGAGGTTAATTATGTAAAGAGCTTCTAAAAACGGACTTCAAAATCTGTAAAAAAAATCTTATCATTTATAGTTAAAATTATATTGACTGCAATGAATTGGTAGATAACAGGAGACAAGGACCTTGTTTAAAGAGGAAAGTCTTAAAAATCATATCTCCTGAAGACCTATCAAAGAATGGCGAAAATTCCTGTTACGAATCTAATCAGGGGAGGAGAACTTAATATTGTTCAATATCACATGGTCTGGTCTTTATGACGCCAGGATTTGTAATCTTAGGGGAATGGGAACACACTTATCAAGTTTGGGTTGATTATCAAATACATTAAGGACAAAGCATCTTAATTGCCACAAAGAAAAAGTGGAGGCAAAGAACACATTGCGAGACCATAAATGTAAACCTTTGACTTACAGACACAATTGAAACATGATGTCTACAAGTCATATGCACTGTATAAGAAATGTTCCTTCATTCCTCTGACTTAGTCCATCTCTTTCATTCACTGGGTACTCTTTAAGTTAATAAATAACACCACTGTTAACTTGGAAGTAAATTGGCCACAAATCAAAAATTGAGGGGATTAAGTCAAATTGAAGTCAAATGTGTTTACGTTTATGATTATGCATTTATCAGACCCTTTTATCCAAAGTGACTCAAAGTAGACACAATGTTACAGTTATCATCAATATGACAATAAGTGGTTTAAAACAGACCAAACTGTTCTGTTATCAAAAATGAAAATACATAGAACAGTGATTTATTATTATTATTTTGATGCAATAGTCACAGTCCAGATACTTGTGTAAACATCTATATTTGGCTCTATTTGAGAAAAAATATCTACCACTAGATGGGTTTTTATTGTTATTTCTGTTGATTTAAGATTCATAATCACAGCTGTTAACAAGCCTAAGTCAAAACAGTTCACTAGACTTGTGAAGAACATTAAAAAGATAGATCACATTTCTTCTATCCCTTTGTTGGGTTCCCTGTTAAATCTGGAACATAATTTCATAAACTTCCTTTTGAAGTACAAAGCCCTAAATAACCAAACCTCATTTTATACCGGAGATCTTGAGATCACTTTGTTCTCAATCTGCACGTTTACATTCGGTTCCTAGAATTTCAAAATTTAGAATGGGAGGCAGATATTTTAGTTATCAGGCTTTACTTCTGTGTAGCCAACTACCACTTTTAATAAGGCAGACACCCATGCTTTTACTTTTAAGGGTAGGCTTAAAACTTTCTTTTTTCATAAAACACTAAAATATGTGCACGTCTTGTGAAGGTGAAGAATGATGAAGTGTGTATGTATGGGGCACGGTGCAGGTCGGTTGTCTTCGTGGTGGGCAAAATATTCATGAGCATACCATAAAAGGAAGAAAAACTGTCATTTCATTCTAGGGGCTTATAACCAGGCTTGCATTAGGACTCATAGAACAGCAAATATTACATTATATTCCAACAACCAATGCTACACACCCTATTCAGAGACCTTAAGGACCAGCACCAAGTACCTTATATAATCATTCTATGACCCCTTTAACACCTAGTCAGCCTCGGTAGAAGGCCAATGCTTGGTGTGAGAGATTGCTATAGAGTCAATGACAAAATGTCAGCGAATATGTATCATTACCACATGGTCATGGCAACGAGTCAATGACTCAATGCAATCAGCTAGTTTTCTTCAACCTGTTCTTTATACAGAGGAGTTAAGTTTTTCATGTAGGCTAATATAAAAAAAAAAAACCTTTAGGCAGCACTTTAAGGAGACAAAATTTATTGTAATTATATGATTAAATAATAGGCATGTAAATTGCTCAGGTAATGACTTAGAGAAATGTAAGACAACCCTAAGTTCATCATTGACTAGTGTTATATCTAGTATTAGAGTAAGTTTAATTCCCAAAATGTGACTGAGTATCTTGATTAGATACTGTGTTTCAATGAATCAACCCATCACTATTTTGACTTATGAAAACATAAGTCAAAATAGTTCTATGAATAATTGTGGAAAGTTTTTATTGTAATGAAATAAGTAAAAAAAAAAAAAGCCTATACACAAAAAGGGAATTTTTATAACCGTACCTTCCTCACAGTAAAGCCCAGAGTAGCTTGGGAGACATACACATGTGAAGGAAGCCAGCCCGTCGACACATGTGCCTCCATTACGGCATGGATTGGATTGGCACTCATCAATTTCTTACGGGAAAAGAAACAATACACAATTTAGGAGTCAATATTTCCAATTTATCTGACATAAAATATCTTGTAATAACAAATATACCTGTTTCACATTGATGACCAGTATAACCAGAGGAACAGCTACATGAATAGATGCTGCCTCTCTTGAAGCAAGACCCTCCATTTAGACAAACATTCTCTTCACATGAATAGATCCCTGTTAAAAAAATATCAACACTTAATTAAAGAAATCTGAACACAGAAAATGTTCTGAAAAAGGACAATGAATAAAATCTACCTGGAATTTCCACCGTCTCCCCAACAACAGTGTGGCCCAAATCAAGTCTTATTGGGGCAGAGGTGGTTGTTTCCTCTCCTTGTCTTGATGTTTCTCTTCCATTAAGTGATGACGTTGTTAGGGATGTTGATATTTCACTGTACTGTTTTCCATCTTCTACAGAGAAGGATGATGAATCTGTTGCTAAAGATGTAAATAACTCTGCCAGATTGTGGGCTTGTGTTGTCGTGAATTCTTCATGGATTATTGGGGTAGATTCAGTAACAACTCTACTGCTGCCAATGATAGTTTCTCCTAAGGAGCTTTCAAGATAATCTGTAGTTGTAGTGTCAACCTTAAATACAGTCTGAATTTCTTCTGGGAACAAGGTTTGCTCTTTATATCTGGAAGTCTGTGGTGCCTTTGGGATTTTGAGGTCTACTGATACACTGTCAGAGCTGGATGGCTTGGTTTCATTTTCTTTAACTGTGCTCAAGTCAGACAAAAAATTATTTGTGGTTAGTTGCAGCTCGGGCGTAATGTCGTCAGACTTATTCCTATCAACATTTTTGGAAATTTCTATCATGCTCAACTTGGAACCGTTGAAGCTAACAGGACTGCCTTCAGTGGTAGAGACTGAGACAACATCAACTGGAAATGTTGCCACTGCTTTGTGAGCTTCTGACACCACCGAGGGTATCGTGTTTTCTCTTTCAGTGATGCCCATTACTGATTGGGAAGGCTCACTTGGAGATGCTTTGAAACTATTTTTGGGCTGTTGGGTTTCATTATACTGAGGTTCGGATTCGAGAAAGTTGGTGTTTTCTGCATCATAGTCTGGGGTTGGATAATCAAAGACACTGTCAAGGGTGTCAAGGGGAGATAGTGATTTTTCAACAGTTGCATCAAGAGATAGCTTTGGCAGAATTGTAAAATGACTTTCCAAACCAGAACCAGCCTGATTCCCTAAATAATTAACAGGATGTAAAGTGGTTGATCCTGCAACCTGACTTGTAGACATGGGGTGAATTGTTGATTCAGAAAAATTTTCAGTGGACTGGTCTGGTTGGGGGAGATCTAAATTTATGACCTTTTCTTCTCCTAAATCAACTTTGTGTATCATTGTAATTGCCATGTCACCTCCTGCTTCCTCTGTGCGGATAGTTGGGTATAATGAAGGGGAGGGAACTATAGAGATAGTATCAACATTAATCATTATATCATCCTTTGTAGATAGTTTTGGGCTGGGAATTTCCTGGCTCAAACTACCTGTAGCTACAGAAAGTGAATCATTAACATTTTTTACATTCTCCGTGGATGTGCTGCCTGATGGTTCAGATTGATGCAAAAATATTGATGTTTGTTCATCAAGCTTTCTCTCTGCTTGGTTGTAAGTTGGAGAAACAATCACAACCTTGGTGTCACTGCTAGAGCTTGCAATATTGTGAACTGTCATGTGATCACTTATAGCAGACTGTACACTATAAGATGATTGTGTTGTTTGCTCTTCTAAAACTGCAACTTTGTCATTGGACACTGACATTAAAGAATCTGAGTTAACAGTATTGGTCATAGAAAAGTCAATTGGCTTCTGAGTCACCGTGGCGGAAGATGTCATTAACTCCAAAGCAAAGATTGAGGGGGGGAGAGTAAATGCAAATGAACCTGTAGCATCTTTGTCAGTGTTGTTGGGATGTTTTGTATTGAAAGTTGCTTTGGGTTTCATAACAGAGCTTGCAACTGGTTCAAATGATGTGATGGCACCTGTACTATCTTCATCAATAGAAGAATAATCTCCATTCCTACGGTCAGCAAAGTAAGTCTCTCTGTTTGTCATATGGGGAGCTTGGGTTGGGGACAATAATTCAGGATGTGTACCAGTATGCGTTGTAGGCATTTCACTCTCAGTGTCAGCTGTTTCAGCTTCATCTGTCATAACAAAAATGTTTTGAGATTTGGTGGTAAGTTCTGTAGAATTTCCATCGGATGGGCTTGTTGTAAATGATGCATGGCCAGACAATTCAACAGAAGATCGCACAAGCACTGGTTGGATTTTCAAGTCATCTGTGTCCCCAGAAGCTTCATCACCTGAATTTTCTTCTTCATTAGAATCCTCATCATCTAACTGGGTATCTATCACCTCTTCCCTGGTGGAAGAAACGAAAGGAGCAGGATCCAATGTCTGTGTCAACTGGTTTGAAATATTTTTATCATGAGGGGGTGTTATATAACTATCAAGTTTTGTTGGTTCTCCTGCGGTAAAAAGAACATTTTCATAATCTGTCACTGGTAGGTTTGTTGTACTCTCTGTGCTAAACAGTGATGAGTGTGTAGCAGACGCAATGCGTATGCTAGTTATTCCACTTAGGTTTTTACTTGTACTCTCTTGGTTGTTTATTGTAGATGCTGAACGTTCCTGTGGCCTTGCAGACATGTCATCGAACTGTGAAGAACTCTCTGCTGTAGCAGAAACTGAAGGTTTACTTGTTTGACCTGTTTGAATACTTTCTTCATCCACCACTGGCAGATTTGTTGTTTTCTCTGTGCTGAACAGTGAGGACCCTGTAGGAGATGCAATGTGTATTCTAGAGGTTCCAATTGGGGTTTCACTTGTAGTCGCTGGGTTTGTTAGTGGAGATGCTGAACTTTCCTCCAGCCCTGCAGAGATTTCGTCAGGCTTCAAAGTTGAAAATGTCTGGTGGGTTTCAGGGGACACAGATTTTGGTTTCTCTGTACTGTATAGTGTTGAAGCTGAGGTAACAGCTGTTCTTGAAGTATCAGTTTTATCAGCTCTTCTTGATTCTGGGGTCGATGATGATAGAATATGAAAAGCTGAGGAGCCGGTCGTTCCTTTAGTGACAGAAGTTTCAATAGGCTTTGTCATGTTTTCAACAGCAATATATTCATCTGTGTTGGTAAAGCTTGATGCTGCTTGGGTAGATATTGTTGCTGTGCCTGTGTCAAAACTAGACAAAGTTGAAGATGTATCAATAACTGTAACCGTTGATATAAACTGGTCAGTATTTGTTAATCCAGAACCATCCACATCTTCTACAGTAGTTACAGGAACTTTCTCTGTCTTCGCAGTAATGGGGGATACTGAGGGGGAAGATTTCTCTTCTGATGAATATTTATCAGCTTGTTCTGCTGTTGTTGTCTCTGTACTGACTAATGATGAAACTTCTGGGGAGGTTGCATGTGTGCTGGATATTTCATTGGAGAACACATTGGTATTGTTATCTGTGCAATCTGTAATGTCAGAAGTTGAAGTTTTTACTGCACTTTCAGTCTTTTCTCCAGAAAGGGTTGTTGTTAAAGTCTGTTTTGTTTCAGGAGACCCCAATGTCGGTTCCAATGTAGAGTATTGTGCTCCATCTGGGCTAATAGTACTTTTTGTTACATCCTTTGTTTCAGAGGTGTGAGATGCAGAAATTGAGGGTGATTGTACACTTGTTTGTTGATATACTGCTGTTGTCACGACTGACTTGTCGCTGACATCAGGAAGTGTTTGAACAGAAGTATGTTCATCTGTGCCCATGACAAAACGCATTTTGTTAGGTTGAATACTTGATCCATGGATTGATGGAATGGACTCCACCATTGGAGAGGCAGTAGCAGTATCTTTATCCTGATCATGCAGAGCAGTATATGACGAGACTGAAGGAGTTATTGGAGAACCTGTTAAAGGGTTCATGGTTTTATCTTCAGTGATTGCAGAAACTGAATGCTCTTTTGTGAAAGAAGGTAGCAGTGTTTGAACTGTTGTAGGTTCTCCTGTGGTAAAAAATGACTGAGTTTGTGATGGGACAGAACTGTATTGAGATGAAATATTATCTTCCACAGAAGTTGTCTGGATATAAATAGTTGATGTTTTGGCATCGGAACTTGTATCTATGATTGAAATGGTTGACTTCCCAGGTGGTTGAGAAACAGAATCTGGCGATGACGACATGTTTTGTTCTGGTGTTCCTGAAGCATCTGCGGAAAGACTTGTGGTGTTATATTGTATTTTAGGAGGCACAGATGTTGGTTTCGCTACACCATACACTGATGATGCTGTGAAGTCTGAAGTTTTTATACTTTCACTTTTTACAGATGTGTCAGATGTTGGGACTGAAGGAGACTCAGTTAAGAGTATTGGAAATGCTGTTGCGATGGTTCCAATTAGTGATTCAGTAATATCAGCAGAGCCTTCTCCAGAGCCTTCAGAATAAGTGTTTCTTTGGACTACGGTTGTCTCAGAAAATGTTATCTCATTAATGTCAGCAGATGAAGCAGTTCCTGTAACAGCAGAGAATGATTGGAAGATGTCTGTGGATGAGTCTCGAGAAGAGCTTTCCTCTAATGGAGAACTGACAGAAGAACTTTCTGTTCCAGCTTTGGCAGTAGAAACTGAAGGTTTACTTGTTTGACCTGTTTGAATACTTTCTTCATCCACCACTGGCAGATTTGTTGTTTTCTCTGTGCTGAACAGTGAGGACCCTGTAGGAGATGCAATGTGTATTCTAGAGGTTCCAATTGGGGTTTCACTTGTAGTCGCTGGGTTTGTTAGTGGAGATGCTGAACTTTCCTCCAGCCCTGCAGAGATTTCGTCAGGCTTCAAAGTTGAAAATGTCTGGTGGGTTTCAGGGGACACAGATTTTGGTTTCTCTGTACTGTATAGTGTTGAAGCTGAGGTAACAGCTGTTCTTGAAGTATCAGTTTTTTCAGCTCTTCTTGATTCTGGGGTCGATGATGATAGAATATGAAAAGCTGAGGAGCCGGTCGTTCCTTTAGTGACAGAAGTTTCAATAGGCTTTGTCATGTTTTCAACAGCAATATATTCATCTGTGTTGGTAAAGCTTGATGCTGCTTGGGTAGATATTGTTGCTGTGCCTGTGTCAAAACTAGACAAAGTTGAAGATGTATCAATAACTGTAACCGTTGATATAAACTGGTCAGTATTTGTTAATCCAGAACCATCCACATCTTCTACAGTAGTTACAGGAACTTTCTCTGTCTTCGCAGTAATGGGGGATACTGAGGGGGAAGATTTCTCTTCTGATGAATATTTATCAGCTTGTTCTGCTGTTGTTGTCTCTGTACTGACTAATGATGAAACTTCTGGGGAGGTTGCATGTGTGCTGGATATTTCATTGGAGAACACATTGGTATTGTTATCTGTGCTATCTGTAATGTCAGAAGTTGAAGTTTTTACTGCACTTTCAGTCTTTTCTCCAGAAAGGGTTGTTGTTAAAGTCTGTTTTGTTTCAGGAGACCCCAATGTCGGTTCCAATGTAGAGTATTGTGCTCCATCTGGGCTAATAGTACTTTTTGTTACATCCTTTGTTTCAGAGGTGTGAGATGCAGAAATTGAGGGTGATTGTACACTTGTTTGTTGATATACTGCTGTTGTCACGACTGACTTGTCGCTGACATCAGGAAGTGTTTGAACAGAAGTATGTTCATCTGTGCCCATGACAAAACGCATTTTGTTAGGTTGAATACTTGATCCATGGATTGATGGAATGGACTCCACCATTGGAGAGGCAGTAGCAGTATCTTTATCCTGATCATGCAGAGCAGTATATGACGAGACTGAAGGAGTTATTGGAGAACCTGTTAAAGGGTTCATGGTTTTATCTTCAGTGATTGCAGAAACTGAATGCTCTTTTGTGAATGAAGGTAGCAGTGTTTGAACTGTTGTAGGTTCTCCTGTGGTAAAAAATGACTGAGTTTGTGATGGGACAGAACTGTATTGAGATGAAATATTATCTTCCACAGAAGTTGTCTGGATATAAATAGTTGATGTTTTGGCATCGGAACTTGTATCTATGATTGAAATGGTTGACTTCCCAGGTGGTTGAGAAACAGAATCTGGCGATGACGACATGTTTTGTTCTGGTGTTCCTGAAGCATCTGCGGAAAGACTTGTGGTGTTATATTGTATTTTAGGAGGCACAGATGTTGGTTTCGCTACACCATACACTGATGATGCTGTGAAGTCTGAAGTTTTTATACTTTCACTTTTTACAGATGTGTCAGATGTTGGGACTGAAGGAGACTCAGTTAAGAGTATTGGAAATGCTGTTGCGATGGTTCCAATTAGTGATTCAGTAATATCAGCAGAGCCTTCTCCAGAGCCTTCAGAATAAGTGTTTCTTTGGACTACGGTTGTCTCAGAAAATGTTATCTCATTAATGTCAGCAGATGAAGCAGTTCCTGTAACAGCAGAGAATGATTGGAAGATGTCTGTGGATGAGTCTCGAGAAGAGCTTTCCTCTAATGGAGAACTGACAGGAGAACTTTCTGTTCCAGCTTTGGCAGTAGAAACTGAAGGTTTACTTGTTTGACCTGTTTGAATACTTTCTTCATCCACCACTGGCAGATTTGTTGTTTTCTCTGTGCTGAACAGTGAGGACCCTGTAGGAGATGCAATGTGTATTCTAGAGGTTCCAATTGGGGTTTCACTTGTAGTCGCTGGGTTTGTTAGTGGAGATGCTGAACTTTCCTCCAGCCCTGCAGAGATTTCGTCAGGCTTCAAAGTTGAAAATGTCTGGTGGGTTTCAGGGGACACAGATTTTGGTTTCTCTGTACTGTATAGTGTTGAAGCTGAGGTAACAGCTGTTCTTGAAGTATCAGTTTTTTCAGCTCTTCTTGATTCTGGGGTCGATGATGATAGAATATGAAAAGCTGAGGAGCCGGTCGTTCCTTTAGTGACAGAAGTTTCAATAGGCTTTGTCATGTTTTCAACAGCAATATATTCATCTGTGTTGGTAAAGGTTGATGCTGCTTGGGTAGATATTGTTGCTGTGCCTGTGTCAAAGCTAGACAGAGTTGAAGATGTATCAATAACTGTAACCGTTGATATAAACTGGTCAGTATTTGTTAATCCAGAACCATCCACATCTTCTACAGTAGTTACAGGAACTTTCTCTGTCTTCGCAGTAATGGGGGATACTGAGGGGGAAGATTTCTCTTCTGATGAATATTTATCAGCTTGTTCTGCTGTTGTTGTCTCTGTACTGACTAATGATGAAACTTCTGGGGAGGTTGCATGTGTGCTGGATATTTCATTGGAGAACACATTGGTATTGTTATCTGTGCTATCTGTAATGTCAGAAGTTGAAGTTTTTACTGCACTTTCAGTCTTTTCTCCAGAAAGGGTTGTTGTTAAAGTCTGTTTTGTTTCAGGAGACCCCAATGTTGGTTCCAATGTAGAGTATTGTGCTCCATCTGGGCTAATAGTACTTTTTGTTACATCCTTTGTTTCAGAGGTGTGAGATGCAGAAATTGAGGGTGATTGTACACTTGTTTGTTGATATACTGCTGTTGTCACGACTGACTTGTCGCTGACATCAGGAAGTGTTTGAACAGAAGTATGTTCATCTGTGCCCATGACAAAACGCATTTTGTTAGGTTGAATACTTGATCCATGGATTGATGGAATGGACTCCACCATTGGAGAGGCAGTAGCAGTATCTTTATCCTGATCATGCAGAGCAGTATATGACGAGACTGAAGGAGTTATTGGAGAACCTGTTAAAGGGTTCATGGTTTTATCTTCAGTGATTGCAGAAACTGAATGCTCTTTTGTGAAGGAATGTAGCAGTGTTTGAACTGTTGTAGGTTCTCCTGTGGTAAAAAATGACTGAGTTTGTGATGGGACAGAACTGTATTGAGATGAAATATTATCTTCCACAGAAGTTGTCTGGATATAAATAGTTGATGTTTTGGCATCGGAACTTGTATCTATGATTGAAATGGTTGACTTCCCAGGTGGTTGAGAAACAGAATCTGGCGATGACGACATGTTTTGTTCTGGTGTTCCTGAAGCATCTGCGGAAAGACTTGTGGTGTTATATTGTATTTCAGGAGGCACAGCTGTTGGTTTCGCTACACCATACACTGATGATGCTGTGAAGTCTGAAGTTTTTATACTTTCACTTTTTACAGATGTGTCAGATGTTGGGACTGAAGGAGACTCAGTTAAGAGTATTGGAAATGCTGTTGCGATGGTTCCAATTAGTGATTCAGTAATATCAGCAGAGCCTTCTCCAGAGCCTTCAGAATAAGTGTTTCTTTGGACTACTGTTGTCTCAGAAAATGTTATCTCATTAATGTCAGCAGATGAAGCAGTTCCTGTAACAGCAGAGAATGATTGGAAGATGTCTGTGGATGAGTCTCGAGAAGAGCTTTCCTCTAATGGAGAACTGACAGAAGAACTTTCTGTTCCAGCTTTGGCAGTAGAAACTGAAGGTTTACTTGTTTGACCTGTTTGAATACTTTCTTCATCCACCACTGGCAGATTTGTTGTTTTCTCTGTGCTGAACAGTGAGGACCCTGTAGGAGATGCAATGTGTATTCTAGAGGTTCCAATTGGGGTTTCACTTGTAGTCGCTGGGTTTGTTAGTGGAGATGCTGAACTTTCCTCCAGCCCTGCAGAGATTTCGTCAGGCTTCAAAGTTGAAAATGTCTGGTGGGTTTCAGGGGACACAGATTTTGGTTTCTCTGTACTGTATAGTGTTGAAGCTGAGGTAACAGCTGTTCTTGAAGTATCAGTTTTTTCAGCTCTTCTTGATTCTGGGGTCGATGATGATAGAATATGAAAAGCTGAGGAGCCGGTCGTTCCTTTAGTGACAGAAGTTTCAATAGGCTTTGTCATGTTTTCAACAGCAATATATTCATCTGTGTTGGTAAAGGTTGATGCTGCTTGGGTAGATATTGTTGCTGTGCCTGTGTCAAAACTAGACAAAGTTGAAGATGTATCAATAACTGTAACCGTTGATATAAACTGGTCAGTATTTGTTAATCCAGAACCATCCACATCTTCTACAGTAGTTACAGGAACTTTCTCTGTCTTCGCAGTAATGGGGGATACTGAGGGGGAAGATTTCTGTTCTGATGAATATTTATCAGCTTGTTCTGCTGTTGTTGTCTCTGTACTGACTAATGATGAAACTTCTGGGGAGGTTGCATGTGTGCTGGATATTTCATTGGAGAACACATTGGTATTGTTATCTGTGCTATCTGTAATGTCAGAAGTTGAAGTTTTTACTGCACTTTCAGTCTTTTCTCCAGAAAGGGTTGTTGTTAAAGTCTGTTTTGTTTCAGGAGACCCCAATGTCGGTTCCAATGTAGAGTATTGTGCTCCATCTGGGCTAATAGTACTTTTTGTTACATCCTTTGTTTCAGAGGTGTGAGATGCAGAAATTGAGGGTGATTGTACACTTGTTTGTTGATATACTGCTGTTGTCACGACTGACTTGTCGCTGACATCAGGAAGTGTTTGAACAGAAGTATGTTCATCTGTGCCCATGACAAAACGCATTTTGTTAGGTTGAATACTTGATCCATGGATTGATGGAATGGACTCCACCATTGGAGAGGCAGTAGCAGTATCTTTATCCTGATCATGCAGAGCAGTATATGACGAGACTGAAGGAGTTATTGGAGAACCTGTTAAAGGGTTCATGGTTTTATCTTCAGTGATTGCAGAAACTGAATGCTCTTTTGTGAAAGAAGGTAGCAGTGTTTGAACTGTTGTAGGTTCTCCTGTGGTAAAAAATGACTGAGTTTGTGATGGGACAGAACTGTATTGAGATGAAATATTATCTTCCACAGAAGTTGTCTGGATATAAATAGTTGATGTTTTGGCATCGGAACTTGTATCTATGATTGAAATGGTTGACTTCCCAGGTGGTTGAGAAACAGAATCTGGCGATGACGACATGTTTTGTTCTGGTGTTCCTGAAGCATCTGCGGAAAGACTTGTGGTGTTATATTGTATTTCAGGAGGCACAGATGTTGGTTTCGCTACACCATACACTGATGATGCTGTGAAGTCTGAAGTTTTTATACTTTCACTTTTTACAGATGTGTCAGATGTTGGGACTGAAGGAGACTCAGTTAAGAGTATTGGAAATGCTGTTGCAATGGTTCCAATTAGTGATTCAGTAATATCAGCAGAGCCTTCTCCAGAGCCTTCAGAATAAGTGTTTCTTTGGACTACCGTTGTCTCAGAAAATGTTATCTCATTAATGTCAGCAGATGAAGCAGTTCCTGTAACAGCAGAGAATGATTGGAAGATGTCTGTGGATGAGTCTCGAGAGGTACCATTGACTCAGCAGGTGACTAGAGTATGGTTATAGTCAACAAATCGTATATTGTTGATGGTTTTGTTGTTGTGCTTTTTTCTTACAGATTAATGAGCTAACATTTAGCTTTTCAGTCAAGTTAAACTCAAACATGTTTGATTCATCACTGCTCCATTGAGCTGTTATGATGAAAATCTGTGTACCTTGGTGTACTTTTTTCCTGCTTTGAAACTAGTTGAGTGATGACACAGATGTGGAAATGGGTCTTGATTCCTCTTAAGAGATGCTTCATCATCAGCCATTATTCATGACTGTGAATGGAGACAGCGAATCCTTTGGCGCACTATTGTGCTGAAAATAAAGCAAAAATAAGACAGTTAGTTATGACCAAATAATGTGTGTGTATGTATTTTTGTTATTTGTATATATACAGTATATTAATTAAATATATTATAGTAGGAAAATATAGGGGGAAATTGTCATCCTGATGTCTACTCGAGACATAATCTAGGAAAAACAGAATTCCAATGTGATTTATTACTATTTATTTTCTTTATCAGCAGCAAATGAGTATTTCCACCTGTTATTAGCTCAATTCTGACCCACAAAGACCTTTAGTCTGCCCGAAGTTTCATACACCACACTCTAGTTTGTGTTTAGGTTTCTGTTTTCTTTTTGGTCAAAACCCCTCTCTGAGTGAGGCCATAACTACAACAGAATACATTTTGAGAAAGGTTTGTGCATTTGTAAGATGTTTGACATTTTCCTGTTCTTTTCTGGATTTCCTAGAGCCTTGACAGAACATATTTTGAAGTAATTTGATGTGTTTGCTTTTTTTTTTTTTTTCCTTCTGTCTTCCTCAGGACTGTTTGGTCCATAATGTAGAGTTCTGATCAGAAATTGTTTCAGTGGTGGTGAGATGGAGAAATTGGGGGGGGGGGGGGGGGGGGGGGGGGGGGGGGGGGGGGGGGGGGGGGGGGGGGGGGGGGGGGGGGGGGGGGGGGGGGGGAGCTTTCCTCTAATGGAGAACTGACAGGAGAACTTTCTGTTCCAGCTTTGGCAGTAGAAACTGAAGGTTTACTTGTTTGACCTGTTTGAATACTTTCTTCATCCACCACTGCTAGATTTGTTGTTTTCTCTGTGCTGAACAGTGAGGACCCTGTAGGAGATGCAATGTGTATTCTAGAGGTTCCAATTGGGGTTTCACTTGTAGTCGCTTGGTTTGTTAGTGGAGAAGGTGAACTTTTCTCCAGCCCTGCAGAGATTTCCTCAGGCTTCAAAGTTGAAAATGTCTGGTGGGTTTCAGGGGACACAGATTTTGGTTTCTCTGTACTGTATAGTGCTGAAGCTGAGGTAACAGCTGTTCTTGAAGTATCAGTTTTATCAGCTCTTCTTGATTCTGGGGTCGATGATGATAGAATATGAAAAGCTGAGGAGCCGGTCGTTCCTTTAGTGACAGAAGTTTCAATAGGCTTTGTCATGTTTTCAACAGCAATATATTCATCTGTGTTGGTAAAGGTTGATGGTGCTTGGGTAGATATTGTTGCTGTGCCTGTTTCAAAGCTAGACAGAGTTGAAGATGTATCAATAACTGTAACCGTTGATATAAACTGGTCAGTATTTGTTGATCCAGAACCATCCACATATTCTACAGTAGTTACAGGAACGTTCTCTATCTTTCCAGTAATGGGGGATACTGAGGGGGAGGATTTCTGTTCTGTTGAATATTTATCAGCTTGTCCTGCTGTTGTTTTCTCTATACTGACTAATGATGAAACTTCTGGGGAGGTTGCATGTGTGCTGGATATTTCATTGGAGAACACATTGGTATTGTTATCTGTGCTATCTATAATGTCAGAAGTTGAAGTTTTTACTGCACTTTCAGTCTTTTCTCCAGAAAGGGTTGTTGTTAAAGTCTGTTTTGTTTCAGGAGAGCCCAATGTTGGTTCCAATGTAGAGTATTGTTCTCCATCTGGGCTAATAGTACTTTTTGATACATCCTTTTTTTCAAAGGTGTGGGATGCAGAAATTGAGGGTGATTGTACACTTGTTTGTTGATATACTGCTGTTGTCACGACTGACTTGTCACTGACATCAGGAAGTGTTTGAACAGAAGTATGTTCATCTGTGCCCATGACAAAACGCATTTTGTTAGGTTGAATACTTGATCCATGGATTGATGGAATGGACTCCACCATTGGAGATGCAGTAGCAGTATCTTCATCCTGATCATGCAGAGCAGTATATGAGGAGACTGAAGGAGTTATTGGAGAACCTGTTAAAGGGTTCATTGTTTTATCTTCAGTGATTGCAGAAACTGAATGCTCTTTTGTGAAAGAAGGTAGCAGTGTTTGAACTGTTGTAGGTTCTCCTGTGGTAAAAAATGACTGAGTTTGTGATGGGACAGAACTGTATTGAGATGAAATATTATCTTCCACAGAAGTTGTCTGGATATAAATAGTTGATGTTTTGGCATCAGAACTTGTATCCATGATTGAAATGGTTGACTTCCCAGGTGGTTGAGAAACAGAATCTGGCGATGACAACATGTTTTGTTCTGGTGTTCCTGAAGCATCTGCGGAAAGACTTGTGGTGTTATATTGTATTTCAGGAGGCACAGCTGTTGGTTTCGCTACACCATACACTGATGATGCTGTGAAGTCTGAAGTTTTTATACTTTCACTTTTTACAGATGTGTCAGATCTTGGGACTGAAGGAGACTCAGTAAACAGTATTTGATATTCAGTGCCAACGGTTCCAATTAGTGATTTAGTATTAACAGTATAGCCTTCTCCAGAACCTTCAGAGTAAGTGTTTGCTCGAACTACCATTGTCTCAGAAAATGTTATCTCATTAATGTCAGCAGATGAAGCAGTTCCTGTAACAGCAGAGAATGATTGGAAGATGTCTGTGGATGAGTCTCGAGAAGAGCTTTCCTCTAATGAAGAACTGACAGGAGAACTTTCTGTTCCAGCTTTGGCAGTAGAAACTGAAGGTTTACTTGTTTGACCTGTTTGAATACTTTCTTCATCCACCACTGGTAGATTTGTTGTTTTCTCTGTGCTGAACAGTGAGGACCCTGTAGGAGATGCAATGTGTATTCTAGAGGTTCCAATTGGGGTTTCACTTGTAGTCGCTGGGTTTGTTAGCGGAGATGCTGAAATTTCCTCTAGCCCTGCAGAGATTTCATCAAGCTTCAAGGCTTCAAGGGCTTTATTAGGTTCATCCTCCCTGAGAGGTACCATTGACTCAGCAATGGTGACTAGAGTATGGTTATAGTCAAACAAATCAGTATATTCTGTTGATGGTTTTGTTGTTGTGCTTTTTTCTACAGATTTAATGGAGCTAACATTTAGCTTTTCAGTCAAGTTAAACTCAAACAATGTAGTTGATTCATCACTGCTCCATTGAGCTGTCTCATTGATGAAAATCTGTGTACCTTTGGTGTACTTTTCTTCCTGCTTTGAAAAACTAGTTTGAGTGATGGACACAGCAGCATGTGGAAATGGGTCTTGACTTCCTCTTAAAGAGACTGCTTCATCATCAGCCATTGATGTCATGGGACTGTCAGCCAATGGAGACAGCGAATCCTTTGGCCGCACTACTTGTGCTGAAAATAAAAGCAAAAATAAAGGCACACTGTTAGTTATTGACCAAATTATGTGTGTGTGTGTATGTATTTTTTTATTTGTATATATACAGTATATATAATATATATATATAGTAAGGAAAATAAGTAGGGGTCTGAAATTGTCATCCTAGGTGCATGTCTACTCTGAGAGACATAATCTAAAAAAGAGAAAAAAACAGAATTCACAATGTGATTTATTAACTATTTATTTTCTTTATACAGCAGCAAATGAGTATTTCAACACCTGTCTATTAGCTACAATTCTGACCCACAAAGACCTTTTAGTCTGCCCGAAGTACATACACCACACCTCTAGGTTTGTGTTTAGGTTTCTGTTTTCTCTTTTGTGTCAAACAACCCCTCTCTGAGTGAGGCCATAACTACAACAGAATACATTTTGAGAAAGGTTTGTGCATTTGTAAGATGTTTGACATTTTCCTCGTTCATTTTCTGGATTTCCTAGCAGCCTTGACAGAAGCATAATTTTGAAAGCTAATTTGATGTGGTTCTGCTTTTTTTTTTTTTTTTTCCTTCTGTCTTCCTCAGGACGTGTTTGGTCCCATAATGTAGAGTTCTGATGACAGAAAGTCTGTATTACAGTGGGTGGTGAGACTGGAACAGAAGGTACTGATCTGTGTGGGTTGGTTTCCTGTAAACCTCAATGTTGAGTCTTCCATATTTTTCCATGTGCACCAAACAATCCAAAACGGATGTTTGTTGTCTTTAGTGTTCTCTCTGGTGAATGTGACGTTGTCTACATTATAAATATGTCTAGTGTCCTTCACTTTAGTTTCAACGAAAGGTATCATTCACATGCCTCAGTCAGTTGCCTTATTGGAAGGTGCTTAGAGCTTTCTTTTCCACTATATCCCCTAGTGATTGGTTCTTATATAATTTAAAACTAAACAATAAAACTGAATCACATTTAGTCTCATACAATACCCAAAGAAACCAAAAAAAAAAAAAATTGGAAACAGCCAGAATTGAACGTAAACTATAAATATTTCTCTGATTTTTTCTTCAAATGTGCAGCAAGGAGCTTCAGATCCACGTGTATTCTCAAAGGGGAGCACTTTTGCTACTTTTTAAATCAGGAGAGATAAGTGAAATAATTGAAAAAAGTCAGATGTGGTGTAAAAGTTGTAGATGAAAATAGCAGGCTTGGCTGTGCAGAAGGACATTGGCACAGGAAGAATGCTGAGGATGTGTGTGTCCCCCGAGATCCTACTGAACTGCTGGTACATGATCATGGGTGGCTTATTTGCTAGTTTGCATGTTGCAACATCACAGAGTGGCAATAAGGGACAGAGCATCTCCGTGGTAGTTCAAGACTTAACTACCCTCTATATACCCTGCCTTTTACCAATACCTACTGGAGAAAGGCACCAGCAACACTGTACCCCTGACACAAAAGCTTCTGTGAGTAAAAAGAACAAGGCTACTGTATGAATTTGTGAGATTTATGACTAAATCTGTCCAATGCAAAAAGCAAGTTGCCCAGGCAAAAATGTACTCTGATTATAAATAAGTCTGTCAAGTCCTCTTCCCCCTGATTTGTTTATTAGTGGCAACCAGTTGGGCAAATGAAAAAGTCCATAGTATATTACTTAAAGAATTCTTCCTCCTTCCCGCTCCCTCTTTTCCTTGCTGTCTCTACCCTAAGCCCCATTGCCTTGTCTGTTTTCCACAAATGATAGTGTGGAAAGATTATCCATTGCAACTAAAAACACCTGTGGCTGCTCAGCAATGCTGAAAGACACCTGTTACAAAAATGGGTTAGGCCTGAGAACCTTACTGACCCACTTAAACACCTACTTGTTCTACACCCCTTGCACACATACAAATTTAAAGGAAAAGTCCGGTCATATTCAAACATCTGAAAGTACTTTCATTATGAAATTATTACATACTTTTCAATGAATGATAAGTGTTTTTAATTAAGAGTAATTTCCTTTCAGTGTGCTTTACTGGAGACATCCATGTTTATCAAAGAGCATGGGTTTGTGACGTCACGGTGCGGTATTGGCTGTTGAGCAAGTCCCCATGCTGTATCTGGAGTAACACGCTATTATCCAAGTCATCTTGAAAACATTCTTCTTCGAAATGTTGACTACATATTACGTGTTTTTTCTCTGGCCAGAAGTTCAATGGCAAATCCTCCCTCTTTAAGTTGGCAATCCAACGACGAACCCGTCATGAATCAGAAAGGTGAAATAACAAATGATTTTTTTCACTTTTGTTTGATGTATTACAACATTCAAATGTCATGCACCTGCGCATTGTCAGTTTAACTACAGCTCTTGTGAATTTTAATGGTGAAGTCCTCTCGAAATCTTAAATAATTGTTGTTGATTGTAGATGTGTCTAGTAGCTCCCATTCATTTTGCTTGTAAAGCCGGGATAATGGCCTTCATCTTATCGCACCGTGAAGTCACTCCCAGAAGATGTCAGGAGTGAGGTGTTAATTATATTTGGGCAAAAATCCAGGACTTAGTGATCGCGATGAAAATTATTGCTTTTATTTGTTTACTGATTAACACTAAATTCATTCAATCACTGTGAACGTATTAGTTTTAGGTATTAATAATGATGCATTGATAATTCCTCGCTGACCAGACATTCCCTTTGAAAATCCTGCAGCTGTTTCACCTGGTCTCTCCTCTTTTTCCGCCATCATCTGACTTAACAACAACAAGAACCCAAGGAGCACCAATATTCCTGTTTTTAACATCAGGGGTCCATTTCATGAAGCAGGTTTACAGAAAACAGAAAAGAAAAACAGTTTTCTAAACCTGAAATCAGGGAAAATCTGACATTTCCAGTTCATAAAGACAGTTTTTATTCGACCTCTGTTTCAGTCACCGTGATAACATTCCCCCCAGACCTAACCTGGTCGGGAGCAGTTTTTCTTTAGTAAACTCATATTACTTGTTTTTGGTTTGTTTAATATGAGTGAGATGAAGATCATTTTATTTTAATTAAGTTTTATCTACAGTACATGAAGAACTTATGAAATTATTTTCAGATTACATGTAAATATATTCATTAATTCTGCGGGGGAAAAGGAATTACTTTAGCATTAGGATTAACTCGATGATAACAACCTAATGAACATATAAACAAAATTTTAGGGCATTCTATGTGACTGAATGCAGCTTATAATGGCCATTTTCTGCCAACGGCTACTAATTTACAGTGTAAAAGAAGACTAAATCAACACGAGGAGGGACGCATGAGATGATCCACAGTTTCTATATATTAGAAAAACATTTTTATTCTTCATCCTCACCTGCTGCCAAAAGATTTCACCTAAATATATACCTTGATCTACTACCATTCAGGAAATAATCCCATAATATTTTCAAGGTACATACAGCTATGGGAAGCCGCTTTGATATGTACCAGTATTACTAAATATGTATTCCTGATATCTGAAAAAAACATGTTTTCTTTGCCTAAATGGCCATTTTAAACTAAATGAGATTCTTCACATCTAGAATCAACATTTTGGATGTCTATAAATTAATTTCAGATATCCATATTCCTAATATTATTGGTCAGCATTTGTATTATTTTAACTATGAAAAAATGTTTTTCAGATATCATAAATAGATTTTCAATGAAACTGATAAATGTCACATCGACCACTTAAAATGTGTAAACATTTGTAGATATTTAAAACTTGATTCTTACTAGTATAATTTTGTTTTGTTTTTTACTTTCTAAAATTCTGTTTCTGCAACAAAAATGTAATTCAGAAAATATATTATTACAATTAGGACAAGTATGTGATAGTCCGTGATTTTGATCAGGAAGAATCTTATTATAGTGATCTACAAATGGAACAACAGAGTGCTTTTAATAGATGTAAAAACAGCCTACAATTGCCCACTTCTTATAAACTTACGCATTAACCAGAGCAACAATCTTCTCCTTTGTCACAGTCTTGGTTCTTTTTTCTTTTGAGTATTCAGTTTTACTTTGCTCCGTGTTTTCTAGTTATATTGGTTTAATTCCTATTTTGTTGTGTTTTCTGGTTATATTTCAGTTCTTAGGTTTTTATTTGTTGTCCTCTGTTGTGTCATTCTAGCACTGATGCCCCCTGATTATCTGCACCCCATACCTAGTAAAAACTTTAATAACGCAGACGGCTCAGTGTGGGGGAAAAAAACATAGTGGATGAGTGACAGCTTCTACTAGCAAGATTTCGCAGACATAAACATCTTGAGAAATTTTATGATGTGGCCCATAACTATCACAACAATCAACATATTCTAAAAGACTACTTAAAATAAATCACTGTCACTCTTGGACAACATGAAATCGGCATAGAAATTATGGAAAAGGCTTTGTTTTCTATTCCTACATGTTCGTCAGCCTTGGCAGATGGCCGCTGACACTGAGCCCGGTTCTGCTGGAGATTTCTTCCTGTTAAAAAGAAGTGTTCCTCTCCAGTGTAGTTACATGCATGCTTGGTGTGAGGGATTGCTTTAGAGTCAATGAGTCGATCCAATCAGCTGCTTTTCCTTAGATAGTAACTTTTAATCAATCCGACAGTATGATTACATTAAATTCAGTCTATTTATATAGCGCAATCTCAAGGCACTTTACTATTCACCAGATCATTCAGAAAAATCAATTCAAAGTTTTCTGTCCAAGAAAAACCAGTTGATTGCATTCACCAGCTGACTCGAAGGCAATCCCTCACACTAAACATGCTTGTAGCCACAGTGGAGAGGAAAAACTCTCTTTTAACGGGAAAAAACCTCCACCAGAACCAGACTCAAGGAGTTCAAGGAGACAGAAGCAGACATGGAAAAAGAAGCAGAGATACAAATGGCAACTGTAAACCAGCCCCACAGGTGGTCCCATCCAGGAAACACACAGCCAGGCAATGAGCTCCGAGCCAGCTCTATGTCAGAGGATAAAGAGAGCATATCCAGCCAGTCACAGTCAGAGAAAGAGGACTACACTGAAAA